CAAATGTGGGTATTTCGTGACGTCTATTCTCTTAGGAAGTGGCGAACAAATGACTGGAAAATTAAGCGCTGAAATCTCCACGTACTCATCTTTATTGCTTCTTAGTGGCAAAGTAACAACTTGACATTTTTGTTTACGATAAGCATTTTCACCAAAAGTGTTACTGAAGTAACCGCAACGTCTCAATGGACGTTGCAGTGAAACCCAGCTTCGCTTTGATGCGGTCGGTGACGTATGAACGTTGGCTGCCATTGTCGAACAAAATTCGTACGGGAATGGACTTGGATCGGTCTTCGTTTGTTACTATTGCGGTAGCAGTTTGTAACAAAATGCTCCCCTTGGCCCTCTCCGTCGACGTTGCGGTCACAGTGCTCCCCAAGGATGGAGTTTCATTTCCTTCTTCAGGTTTTTTTTGCGTGGTCTATTTCATTCGTAATTGGTTCTCTGGTGTGACTCACAAGAGTCGAGTTTTGCCCTTCCCTTGAATTGTGATCGTTCAAACCAGACGTATCGCTGTAATCGGAGCTGTAATCGGGGTTCTTTGGCACAAATTTTCGGCAAATCGACTGATGATGATGGCCCTGACATCGTCGACAGTTCCTTTTGCATGAGCCACCATGGTGATCAGGTTTCAAACAAACGAAACATCTTCGACCCTTTCTCAGGATTCGAAATGAGCATGAGGGTCACTTACATTTTCACAGGAAGCACAGTAATGTAATCCACCACAATAGACGCATTTAATTTGATTTCCCGTCAACGAAAATCGTTTGTCATCTTGAGACAAAAGAGGATTCGCGGTCGGCGTTTTATGATGATTAGGGTGGAGTTTCTCAAGGCTCACGTTGGTCTTCACACCTTCACTAATCTCGCGTGCCTCAACTTCCTGACGGATCACTTCTAACATGTCGGACATCTCCCACACCTCGCTCGCGGTATTTCTAGCTACTTGGATTCTAATTTCATGGGGTAGCTTTGACATGATCACAGGAATCATTAAACTCCCATACTGGTGAGAGCTTACACCCAACGATTCCAAACCTCTTATGTTAATGCTGAATTTGTCATAAACGAGACGAAGTCGGGTCGCTTTAACGCTAGTACATGCTGGAATTTTAAGCATTTCATCCATATGTGTCGATATTATGTTCTGCACTCTGCCGAAGCGTTTGTGTAATATCTCGATGGCAGACTTATAGTTAGCCTCAGTTCTAGTTAGCCCTTGAATCGCTCTTGCTGCCTGTCCGTCCAACAGTGAATGCAAGTGATTAAATTTTCCGATTAAACTCAAATGAGGATTGGCGTGTATGGCCTTTTAAAGCTATCCCAGAAACCTTGCCATTGCGTAATTTCTCCTCTAAATTTCGGTAACACTAGTTTAGGTAATTTCGCTTTAGGCTGATAAGCCACTAAACTAGCGTTCATGCCAAAATTAGCATGTGAATGAGAACCCATACCTGGATTTCCTGATGATTGCATGTTCTCAGCGTGGGAAGTTGAAGCGACGTCAAAAGAATGAAATCCACCATAAGCTGCACTCCCGGGCGATTGGAGTTGAACATTATTTTTAGAAGCCAAAGTCGAAGTTCCACTTGTTCCAGAAGGCGTAATCGATTGTTGAGAACCAGGGGGCGTAGTATCGTCGATATTCGTTGTTGGGACAACCGAAAGTCCGTCATTGTTATCCATTNAATTTCGGTAACACTAGTTTAGGTAATTTTGCTCTAGGCTGATAAGCCACTGAATTAGCGTTCATGCCAAAGTTAGTATGTAAATGAGAGCCCATACCTGAATTTCCTGATGATTGCATGTTTTCAGCGTGGGAAGTTGAAGCGACGTCAAAAGAATGAAATCCACCATAAGCTGCACTCCCGGGCGATTGGAGTTGAACATTATTTTTAGAAGCCAAAGTCGAAGTTCCACTTGTTCCAGAAGGCGTAATCGATTGTTGAGAACCAGGGGGCGTAGTATCGTCGATATTCGTTGTTGGGACAACCGAAAGTCCGTCATTGTTATCCATTAAACCAGTCGCTTCATTTATGACTAGCAATAGATCAATTACGCGTGAATTGATTTCATCCGATTCTTCTATTTCGGCTTCGACCTCTTCCACCGCGCAATTCTCTATGATTTCTTCGTCGAGTGTTTTTACCAAATTTAACTTCTCGTCTAGAGAAGCAGCAATAGCCTTCAGGCGTTTCTTATCACTCGTTTCAGCCTTGAGAAGACCATCCGCTTCATTCATTAGTTTTGTCATAACAGTCCTATTTCCACCTCGTTTGGCGCGAATACGTGGTAGTTTTTCGGCCATTTCGTGTCTTGTGTCTCAGGGTATCAATGCCCCACGTTGGGCGCCATATAATAAACCAAGCGTCGGCGTAATTCCAACTCGTTTATTGTGTGTCTAATGTGTAATCGCTTCTTTATATATAGGTAATATGAGATTCACTAATTTAATCAATCAACTGTCACTGTACAAACAAAACGAAATTTCTGGTTTCACAGGTAAAGAAATTGTTCTCGCGTGGGGGCGTCTCCATGTTTCGACATAGAAACTAGTTATTTATAAATAGCCGTTCGTAAATAATTGAAGAACACTCCTTAGTACAAGATAAATAAAGATAAAATAGGAGCACTTTGTCTTTGACAAAACAAGTTATAACCAAATTATAAACTGTATCCAAGACATTCTTCGGAATCAAAGGTTTTTGTCTCACTCCTCAGATCGCTTTGCGAAGTGAGGGAGCTATACAATTTTCGACTTATGAATTAATTAAGAGAAGCTAAAATTTATATATATCTGATAAATTACTAATATTCCGTCATGAACGTTCGTCTAGAGTCAGCTTCAACAGGGTTGCAACCCTGTAAATGCCGCAAAAACAAAAATAGCAAACCGGTTTGGAATTCTCCGTAGCAGCCTCCGTTTCGCGAAGTACACTCATGAAATGCAATGGGATAATAAACTGAATAAGGTAAAACTTGATTAATACAGTTATGGATGTAGGTTAAAAAAAACAACATGCAAACTTATCTTTTCCTCCCTTGTGTCCGAACATTTCGTACGTTCAAAGACGGGAAAGCGATCGATAGCCTGAAAACCCCGCCGAAACAACATGGCCGGTTGACCGGTTGGCCGACCACCACCAATTATCTTGATCTCCCTCTTGAATTCTTCGAATTCTTTCTTGGCGATGATATGGAGATTTTTCCACTTGTCCTTTACCTCCGTGACCGTTTGCTTGGCTGTTCCGACCGCATTTACCGCTTGGGTTATTTCTTCCCAGAGCATTTGTTCTTTTTGTGGGTCACAGCATTCGTTAATTTGGACTGGATTAAGTCCACATTTTTTTTGACATTATCAATGATGACTTCAATCTCATAAACTGAAAAATTCTGTTTTCTTTTTCTGTCTTTCATTTGGTTTCCATTTCCCTGTGCACTCTCACTTTCCGCCATTTTTTCCCTCCAGTTTTCTTTCGCGCGTAGTCGCGTAGCTCCTAATAACCGATTTGACTGGTTTAATCTCAGCTTAATCGTGGGATAGTTAATCAAGGGATAAATCTGCTTTCAGGAACGTTATTTTAAACCTAGATTAGCTATCCTTGGCATAAGAAATTTAATCGTCGATTAACCTCTAATCGAGGGATAATTTAATCGGCTTTCGAACAACAGGGGCCAGGGCTTTGTATTTAGTAATTTCTCTGGCTATTTCAGTGATAGCTTTTTGCCATCATGTCCGATATTTCCTGGTCCCCAATGGTCTTATTGAATAAATACACACCATTCGAGTTAGTGTGTATTAAGGTCAGCCTCAAACACATTCTACATTGTTGGCAATTCTGTCTGGATTAAATGCGACTGTCTTGCTAATTGAGATAAACTTCAATACGATTGATTCCCAATCTTCAATATGATAAGATCATGACCAAAACTAATGAATCCTTTGTCTGATATTGTAAATCAAAGAACATAAACTCATTGCCACACATTGTTGCCCTGCATTTTGTCCAAATACTAACTCATTACCTTGGCTTATACCTGCCAACTCTCGCGCATTATGCGTGAATCCCACGCCCGCGGACCAAAGACGTCGATCCCACGCACTTTCTCACGCTTGACTTGGAAATCCGGTTGACTTATTCTTTAGCACATTAGCAACAAAAATTCAATCCAATATTCCCCGTGAATGTTCCAACAAACTGCGCTTAATGTCGAGTTTGAGTCCTAACCGTATCAGAACGCGCTAAAATGTCGCGTTTCAGTTTGCATTTGAGGGACTGGAAACGAAGTCGAGTCTCGTGATCTATAAACTTCATTTTAATTGTTACGTATTATTTCTTTGCTATTCATAACAATCACAAAAGCTTTCAAACGTCTTCAATACGTTCGAAAGCCATCGGTAAAGCTTCAAGTAGCTTTGGAAGTCACCGGAAAATCTTCGGATAACGTTTTGAAGTCTTTGGTAAACGGTCTGAAGTTGCCAGAACATTGTTGGAAATTCCGAAATTTTGCTATTGTTTTGCTAGAGTCGCCTTGCATTGGGGTAGGACAATGGTTCTTTTCTCTGCATCTTTCTAAACACGATGGTCATAAACTTCCATCAGTCCGTTATGTCTTTAAAATTTTCGCTAAATCGCATCGAAAGCAGCTAAGGTAAAAAAGTTTTAAAAGACATAACAGAAGAAAAATGTTACTTTACGAATTTCTTCAAGGTTAAGTATCAGCCGTGGCCTTAAAACTAACAAATTAAAGTGCTGCGTCGGTAATTGCATACTGAAGGGGCAAAATTTCTAGAAAATTTTGCATAATTTGCCTGTGAGGCCCCCCTCTCCACTGACGCCACATCTGTTCGTCCAGGTATGATTGAAGATCTTCTTTTTTCATACCTCTTCTTATTTTTTGCCCCAACTTAAGATTATTCCAGCAGGACTCTACCTCCTGAGTGTGGACGCCAGTAACAGGATCAACGAAGTGTCGGGCATGTACGACAATTCGGTGCGCGGCGACGTTAAAATATG